GCTACAGATCAATAATCTAATGTTGAATTCACTAATGTCAGTCTATTAACTACCCATCCTCACACCGTTTGGACTGCTTTCTTATCCCTTCGTTCTTCTTCAAGTCCACCCCTAATTCAATTCATTTTAATGATATTGATCATTTATTGCTGTTAGGGTACAGTATTGATATTAGACATGCAGCATGCAAGAAAGACAAAATATTGTTCCCAGAAGCTAAGAGGCCAGGTTAGGGTTTGTTTGTGTGTGTGCTTGTTTGGCTGGTGTTTGTTTGTTTGTTTGTTTCCCCAGCCTCTCTTTTGTAGTTTTTAAAAAAATCATACAATATATTTTGATCATTTTTCCCATCCCCCAACTCCTCCCATCTTCTTCTCACCTCACTATCTACCCAAGTTCATGTTCCCTTTCATCTATCTGTATGTCTATCTTTTTATCTCTCTCTTTGTCTCCAAAAGAAAATGAAAATCAAAACCAACAAACAATAAACAATTAAAACTAAAAAACCAAACCAAAACAGAACAAAAAGTCCACCAAAAAGGGAACCACCATGGAGTCTTGTGTTTTGTTGGCCAACTATCCTGGACATGGGGCCTTCCCTGGAGTGTGGTTGTGCCCAGTGACAAACTATTAGGAAAAGTTGATTTTTCCCTCTCCCTACTGGAAAGCTATCAGTTGTAGATAGCTTCATGGTTAGAGGTGAGATTTGTGCTCACTTCCCCTTCTCAGTGCAGGAATCTTTTCATAGTTTGAACCTGTGCAGGTCTTGCGCATGGTGTCACCTCTTTACAAATTCATATGTGCATCAGTCCTGTTGTATATGGATGGTGCTATTTCCTTGGAGTTATCTATCACCTCTGGCTCTTACAATCTTTCTGTCTTCTCTTCTATATAGATTCCTGAACTTTGAAGATGCTTGATGATGTCATCCCAGGTAGGACTGAATACTCCAAAGTTTCTCACTCTCAGCACATTTTTCAGTTGCGTGTCTCCATGTTTTAAAAATAAAAGACCTTTGAAAATGTGTATGTAAACATACATAGATGACTAAAATCTGAAAAGTCACATGTGTTAAAAAGGATAAACAGTAGTTCCTTGGGGGCAGCTCACCCTCACAGTACTATATGAATTCCTTTCTCTGATTTTCTTTTTGACACAAAATAGTGTGTTTCCTAGAACCATGAAGTAAGTAGCTCTGCCCAGTCTTTAAAATTTTCAAAACTTAGGCTAGAGAGATGACTTGGTGGTTAAGAGCACTAGCTGCTCTTCTGGATGACCCAGGTTCAGTTCCCTGCATCCACATGGCAGTTCATAGCCTCTATAACTTCAGATTCATGGGATACCCTCCTCCTTTTTTAAATTTCTGAAACTATGAACCAAAATAAGCCTCTTTTCTTGAAAGCTAGTTATCTCAGAATTGAGGCTAATATAAAAAATAAATAACTATATGAACCCAGTTCAAAATACTAGAGGAAGGATTTTGTTGGGTAAGTAACGTTTTGAAACCTGAGTGCTGAAGAATGACATGAGTGGAAAGAGGAAACCCTGTGAGGACCTTCCATCAATTACAAAAAAAGTCATGTGCACAGTAATTAATGAGAGAGGGGATTCCTACAGAGGGCTCATGGAGGTGTCTATTTAAATACACAGCATACAGAGTAAGGGCAGCAAGTTGGAACACCTCCAGATAAACCACTAAAGACAAATCCTTCATAGCACTGTTTGGAACAATTACTAGATGACAATGAACATCATGATAGGTGTTGGATTACTTAGAATATCTTTTCATTTTGTTTTTTAATTTAGAACCACACCTACTTATGATATTAATATATTCTTATGACATATAATTTGTTACTTGGTTTACAAAAGCAATTGTATGGTTTATTAACATAAATGCTTTATGTTTATTACTAACTGGAATTCACTAACACACAAGGTCTCCACAAAATCAGAAATCAAAGTATAGGGTAAACATATATTCCCACAATCAGACAGGTAGCACAGTGCTGTTGTGACTTCTGTAATGAACAAGGTAAACAGATATTTTCCATGTCTTCAAGATGGATGTTCAAAATTTAGAAGCAATTTAGTCCTAAGAGTCCATGTTCTATTGTAGAAACAGTTGCAAAGGGTTATATACAAATGCACAAGCATGTACTGATTCTGTTGAGTGTATGTATCCATTCAGGTGTATGCGCACATGTGTGTTAGGACATGCCAGAAGTGTACTTCAACTGTGTTTTGTTGTTGTTGTTGTTGTTGTTGTTTTTGTTTTTTTCAATCTCCAACTTAGGTTTTGAGAGAGTATCTCTCACTGGATTTCATGATTGGTGTTTGTCTGACTGCTTGACCAGCAAGCCTCAGAGACCCACCTATGTCCTCCTCCCTAGTGCCAGAATTATAGGTGCATGCTGCTATGCCCACTTTTCATGTGGATACTGAAGACTAAACTCAGGTCTCCACACTTGCAAAGCAAGAGCTTTGCCCACTGAACTATCCTCCAGCAGCCCAAACTATGCTTTCAAAAAAGGAAAGCAGTTGTCCTGATGTAGACTATGAATGATCTAGCAGGTATTTTTAGTTTCCTCAATATTTTGCATAAGAATTTTTGAAATGAGGTTAAAAGACAGTAATTTTATTCAGTGGTTATCTCTATATCTCTATATTCTTCTACGAGAAGAACAGTCTCAATTTGGAGAAAACGTCTTCCATCCACATGGTGGTTTTGATAATATTTGTCAAGATAATAGACCTTCTCTGACTAAGTTCATTTCTCTTATTATAAGATGAAAATATACATTCTAATACATTTTTAATATCTTCAGTGTTCCCACAGCTAAACACTGAAATGAGCTGGAATCCAGTTGCAGAGAAGGAGGAGCGATGAGCAAAGGAATCCAGACAGGGTTGGTGAAACCCACAGAAACAGCTAACCTGAACAAGGGGGAACTCTTGGTCCCCAGACTGATAGCTGGAAAACTAGCATGGGACTGATCCAGACCCCATGAACATGGGTGTTAGTGAGGAGACCTCGGAAATCTATGGGTCCCCTTGTAGTAGATCAGTACTTATCCCTAGCATAGGAATGGACTTTGGGAGCCCATCCCACATGGAGGTATACTCCCTGAGCCTAGACACATGGGATGGGCCTAGGTCCTATCCCAAAGGATATGACAGACTCAGAAGAGCCCCTATGTAAGGCCTCACCCTTCCTGGGGAGCAGAAAGGGTATGGTATAGGTAGGGTGTTAGTTTGGGGGGCACAGGAGGAGGGGAGGGAGAGGGAACTGGGATTGACATGTAAAACAATCTTATTTCTAATTCAAATAAAAAATTTAAAAGAAATACCTTCAGTGTTGACATTTGTGTAAATCAGTACGTGATGGTTTGGAAATTGGTCCACAAAGGCTCATATCTTTCATGCTTTGTCTCCAGTTAGTGGAACTATTTGGGAAGAGTTAGGTAAGATGGCCTTGTTGGGATAAGTAGCTTTGCTGAAGGAGGCTTGTCACTGGGGTGGTTTTGAGATTTCAAAAGCCCATGCCAGGCTTAGTGTGTGTGTCTCTGCCAGCAGATCAGAATGTAAAGCTCTCAGCTACTGTTTCATCATCATGCCTGTCTTCTTCCTTCCATGATGATTATGAACTAACCTACTGCAACTGCAAGCAAACCCCCAATTAAATGCTGTATTTCATAAGATTTGCCCTGGTTATAATCTCTATACAGCAATAAAACAATAACTAAGACTTAATGTAAGAGAAAAAGAAAAATTATAATCCAGCAAATCTAGTTCTTATTGTGCTATATATTCCTTGTGGCCAACAAGAGAGTAACCAACATCCAGCACCCTCAATGCTGGACACAGAACCCTAAACCAAACAGCAAGACAATTTTAATTCCTGCCACCCATTCTTCCATCCCAATCCCAGTATTTTCCAAGTTTGCTTGGCAAATTGCTGTCCCACAAATATGACATATGTTTCCTGTCCCATCTGTGTCTTACAGAAAAGGCCCATTTACTATCAAGTTTCCATGCCAATTAACCTTTATACAACACTGACCTTAGCTTAAAGTATATGAGAGGTAAATATGCTTTGATAGAATATACATTGTCCAAACACTTTGCTAAACATCGACATATTTCTTATTATTAAATGTTACAGTAGCCTTTACATTCTTTAATTTTTTCTTTTATGATTGATAACTTGATAAGTTATGATAGTAACTTGATGCATATACAATTGTTATATGCTATACATATTAATCCAGTTGAGATACTAAGTATTTCCAACTCTATCACTCATCACAAGATGAGAAATTATAACTCTTCTGGTTACTTTTAAATATATCATGTAAATATTCTTTTTTCCACATTTGTTTTCATGCAAACACTTGCTTATATTTCTGCTTTCTCAAACTAATTCCCAACTTCTTCAAGGAAGTTGGTAAGCTCATGGTATGTTTTTTTTTTTTAATTTATATGTTTTATGGAGCATGGGAGAGTATTTAGCACATGATAAGCACTGAAGAACTATTTATTGAATCAGGTTAAACACAATTCTAGACATATATATAATATATCACTTGATTTCCAAGCATTCTACATTATATGGGACAGTAACCTCTCTCAATCTATATAATATATTCCTCAACATTCAAAGTAATTGCATTACAGAACTTAATATATTTCCAGTGGATGAATCATTTTAACCAGTTTTGCCTCTCTCCCCCCTCTGTCTCTCTCTCTCTCTTTTTCTTCCCCTCCCCCCTGCCTCTCTCTCTCTCTCTCTCTCTCTCTCTCTCTCTCTCTGTGTGTGTGTGTGTGTGTGTGTCTGTGTCTGTGTCTGTGTCTGTGTCTGTGTCTGTGTCTGTGTGTGTGGTCTCTGGAGTGCTCTGAGCTTTGAATGTGCAGCCTAATTCCACATGCAAAACAGTCCTCTGCTCTTATCAACCCAACACAGCCTGTGAAGTCCTCATTGCAACTCTGACTTTGCCACAGTCATGAGGTTCAAGTTCTCTCTCATGGCCATAGGCCTGGAAGTTGTTATGATTGTTTTATTTGGATTATTTGTTGAATATGATATAACCCAGCAGGTCAATGCTACAACACCAACAAAGACGGACCAATTCCTTCAATTGTATCCCTGTGAGTAAGCAACTTATTTCTTATACTCCTTTGGGTTCCTTAGGGTCTCAGAATTCAAATATTTAAGTACTATAATACTATACATTTTGAGGTACTTGTAGAATTGTCTAGTATTTTAAGTGTCATGGGTATTGTGTGTCCCCATTAGGACATACTTGTCTTCTGTTAATGATGAAAGTGTTTGGACAGAATCTGTGTTCAAATATCAGAATATTGAGCTAAAATTAAAACATTTCATCTATTTTTTAATTCATCGCATCCTTAAAACTAAATAACCATCTTTATTGTGTGGGTTTCTTTACTCATTCTGCAATAAATAAAGGTATTGGTCACCTTCTCTCAAATAAAAGAAACAGAAATAAATCACACAGGACAGAGACAAAGGTAAAATGGAGTGAAGAAATGGAAGCCAGAATTCACCTTGGGTTATTAGATAGAAGAAGGGTATTTAAGTAGATGAAAGAGGTTACTGGAGTTTTAATTCATGTCTTCTGGGTTTTGGAAGATTATCAAAATAGACTTTTTAAATTGAACATGGTGAACATTTAATTTAAAAATAGACTCCTTCACTGAGAACAGAGAGAGAAGAAAAAGAACAACTGAACTTCTATTTCAAGGAAGCAGAGTATGAAATAGTTAATATATAGTAAGTTCCATTTGCTGGGGTTATCATGACCCTGACACCCTTATTAGCTCATCTTCCAAGAGAGATAAAGTACACCATTATTTCTACATTCTCAAATGAAGCTATAGCAACTGTAATTTTTAAACATTTAAAATAGCAATTGTTATTATTGTTTACAACACTTGTTTAAACTTCCTAAAATAATGCTTTCGTGTCTATATCTTTCAGGAGTACATATAGTGGAAGCTTTCTCACTTATGAGTTAGTACCAAGGATGAATTAGTAAGCTACAAAATTCAATTTTAAGATTAGAGTTAGGATCAAATGCCACATTCTGAACTCAGTTACCTTTATGCTCATAGGCATTTAATAGTATTCTTAATTAATTTTTTTATTTTTCAATTTAGAGAGAAATAAAAGAAATAGAATTATTTTGATGACTTGTACCAAGTACATAGTATTTTCAGTCATTCATTCACTGAATAAATACTTTGAGTAGCAAGAATACATTATAAAAATTTATTCAAGATTTCTAGGCCAACAATCTCCAGAGCGAGTGCCAGGATAGGCTCCAAAGCTACACAGAGAAACCCTGTCTCGGAAAAAAAAAATATTCAAAGGTGAATCAATTGCAACCCCATTACAGTGAGCACCAATCTATTGCACATGGGAGCAATAGGATGCAAGACAAAACCAATTGCCAAAAATACTCTCCAAGATTAATGCTATTAAAATAAAATTATATAAAGACCTTAAGAACGTAGTAGTTTCCGAATTTCTAAAGTCGAAGCATTAAGCCTGGTGTCAGAGAGTCTAAGCAAAACTTCAGTTCAAAATGAGGTAAAAGGCAAGATGAAGGAAGTAACTAAAAATGTTATTTCCTAGATTAATAATAGATGATTAATTTCTGGTAATTTAGTGTACTGGCTGCCAATGAGAGCTAACAGTGTATTTTATACTTGCAACGTTCTAAGCCCATACATCTTAAATCTCACCACACACCACATAACTGTAACTATGTAGAGGTAATGGGGTAATGGGTGTATTAATTAACTTGATTATCATGATCATGTAACACAAATATCCTAATACACATGTAATGTGTTTATTTTATATATGTTGGCTATATCACAAAATGTTATTTGAAATATGTACGCTAACAACTACAACATTCTTGTCATTTTTTGAGAACAGGAAATTCATTAGTATTATGACACATTAACAAACTATTTATTATTATTCTAATTTTGTAAAGAATTTTCTAGGCCTTAGGAACTACGTAGTAAATGTGCAGACAAAATGGGCACAGTTTGTATCTTCACAAAGTATTTGCCTCAGTGGGAGAGTAGTGTGTGTGTGTGTGTGTGTGTGTGTGTTTTAGATGCTAATAAAATGCTTACCTAAAATTATCTTATAAGTCAGTCTTTGTACATTCCCTGTTTTAGGTGCAATTTTAAATCTGTTTTCTCCATGGATAACTTACATCGCAAAATGCTAAAAAATTCAAAGAGCTACATGACCCTTGTAGAAGTAATTTGTAGAATGGTCTGAGAAACTACATGATTTGTGATATACATTTTCTCTAAATTTCAAAAAATTCACATATGCAAAGCTTGTGTATAAATACCACATGTTAGAAAACAGTCACAGTCCATTGTTAGGAAAGAATATTCAAGTCAAATCAATAAACATTTGGGCACTCTCCTAGTGTGATGCACTGTACCAAGTGCTAGGATTTAAGATATGGAAGGCAGAATTTCCTAAGACCTACTAAGCTCCTCTACAGCTCTCAGTCAGAGTGCTACAAGCTTCTGAATTTCTCACAGATATGAGAGGCTAGATGCCAATTTGCATTTTTAGTAAACTGCACAGAGAGGGGGGAGAGGTTTATTCTCCCCAGACTTGTTCATTGTAGGACTCTTGAGTAGTAAAGTGTGATGTCACATAACCATAAAAGTGTGTCTCACATCTGAATGCCGAGTTTCTGCGATGCTAACTTGCAATACCATATATTCTGTATGTTTGGCTAAGACACATAAAGAAGTATTGGCCATTCTATCAAGGGGCATAAATTGAGAAGTCAAACTTAGCAACAGTATAGTGAAAGCTGGATTTAGAGGACAAGGGCCTTTGAGGATTGGTTCAAGAGACTCTGCAAATGCTAGGGCCTTATTGCCTAATTGATATTTAAACCACACCAATGACTTTTTTGTGCTTTGCTACACTAAAATCTTTTACTTTCACTTTTACTGGATCAGGTACCTGTGGGTAATTTTGAACCTTCTATGTTGTATGCATTGTTCATTTAAATATGTAGTGACACAATACAAATGTTGGCACACTTCATTGTAAAATATAAAATATATATTTATTTACTTGTGGAGGTCCTCTTTCCCTGTTGGCCTTTTAGTTGTTAGTCCAAAAGAAGAAAGAGGCAGAAGGGATGATAGCTTTGTATTCTACTCATGAGCACAAATGGAGACAGCTCTCCAGGAGACAGCTTCGGCGACTCAACTTTATCCCAGAGTATAAGGAGTTTTTAGGATTGAAGAGCCTGGGGTCAAACCCTAATTTACATTAAATTTCACACTCCTATCACATTTCAGGAATATGTTGCATATATATTTGCATATCATCATACTGATTCACACAAAATATTAAAATGATATGTTGAGGGGTTATTACCTTATGAAGTTAGTAACATTTGCTGCTTCATTACAAAATGATTATATAGAGAAACTGGCTTTTTCCTTCAAATTTACAGTGGTGAAAATCCCATAAATAATCTAACCACTTGATAACTTTTCTTTCTTCCCACTAAAGACCCCAAAGCTTAGATGCTATCATCTTTACCATCTGTAGAAGTATCAATGCAGTGAAAAAGAAAACTGCCATCTTAAATTGTCATGAGAAGAGTTTTGCCTTCTCAGACTCTCTGAACGTGTCTCTTAGGTACTTGGAAAACAGTAAGGGTATAAAGTACCAAAGGATTCACACAGAACTCAAAGTTATTCTGACTTTCCAGACTAGCAAAAGATGTAAAACTATGATTTATGCTTAAAATTAGCATGTTGAAATTCATTCCTACATTTATTCTGAGAATATTCACTTCCATTTTCACCAGCAAAACACTGGCAGTGAACGCCTCTTTCGTCCAATATTAACTATTCCCAGAGAATTGCTTGTCGCCATCTTTTACTGAAACTGTTAGGAATGAACACACTGTGTCATATATGACCTATGAATATGATGCTAGATTGCCAAACTTGAATAATGCCTTTAAATTGAATAGCTCAATCCTCAGACAAGGGCTGGAAGCAGTAGGCACAACTACACCTCAAATTTTAATTACAAAATAACCTTCTCTCTCCAGAATCATTCATAAAACTGTTCATTTAAAATCGAAACAATGATGGGGCTGGAGAGATGGCTTATCTGTTAAGAGCACTGACTACTCACTCTTCCAGATGAGCGGGGTTAATTCCCAGCACCTACGTGGCAGTTCATTGCTATCTATAACTCCAGTTCCAGGAGACTCGACACTCTCACACAGACATACATACTGGCCAAACACCAATGCATATAAAATAAAAATAAATAAAATTCACAATAAAATAAAATAGAAGCAATGATAGCATAAGGTAAGCAAAGTGCTTAGAGGCAAATGGGAACACATCAAAGAAACCTAAAACCTTCTTACCTAGATGCCAATTTATTACAATTAAGATGGAGAGGCTACCTTAAATGCCCTCCCCTGATAATGAGATTGATGACTAACTTATATACCATCCCAGAGCCTTCATCCAGCAGTTGATGGAAATAGAAGAAGATACCCACAGTTAAAAACTGAATTGAACTGGAATTCAGTTGAAGAGAAGGAGGAGTGATGAGAAAATGGGTCAAGACCAGGCTGGTGAACCCACAGAAACAGCTGACCTGAGCAAGAGGGATCTCTTGGTCCCGAGACTGATCACTAGAAAACCAGCATGGAACTGATCCAGATACCATAAATATGGGTGTCAGTGAGGAGGCCTCAGAAATCTATGGGGCCTCTTGTAGATCAGTACTTATCCCTAGCATGGAATGGACTTTGGGATCCCATTTCACATAGAGGGATACTCCCTCAGCCTAGACACATGGGGGAGGACCTAGGCCCTATACCAAAAGTTATGACAGTCTCTGAACCCCCCCATGGAATGCCTCACTCTCCCTGGGGAGCAGAAATGGTATGGGATAGGAAGGGTGTTAGTGGGGTCAGGGGGGAGGGGAGGGAGAGGGAGCTGGGATTGGCATGTAAAACAATCTTGTTTCTAATTCAAATCTAAAAATTTTTTTAAAAAGAATAAATTGGATGGTAGAAGTAGTAAGATGGTAG